CGGGGAGGGGCCGTCCCCATCAGCCTCACTGCCCGCACCTGCGGCTCCTCCAGCCCCGGCCCGCAGCTGGAGCCCAGCAGGAACAGGGGGGGGCAGGGGCCGACCCCCCCCAGCGCCTCACCTCCCCCTCCCCTGGGCTCCTTCACGGCCCCTCGCCCCGTGAAAGGGAGCACAAACGCAGCCCGGAGGGCAAAGGGGACCGGCGGCCGGAGGTTATTCAGCCGAGCGCCTACGGAGTCCCGGAGTCTTGCGAGCAAGTCTGCTCCGGGGCTCGAGGCCCCCCGACGCTCCCCCTGCCCCTGGGACACCTCGGCAGTGGTCCCAGAGCCACGCTTGTCAGTCCGTCGGGGAACGCACGGTCGGTGGGCTGGCTCCTGGAGCGATGGGCTGCTGGGCAGAGGCGAAGGCTGCCAAAACTGAGGAGCAGAGAAGAGAGGAGAAAAGCCATAGCTGGCTGGACAGCGGGGGTGTAACGAGAGAGCACGAGGCAGGGAACGGGACCCAGAGAGAAGGACAGGGAGCCCAACAGGGAGGGAGAAAGAGGCAGCACAAAGAGGGAGGGGGAGCAGGATGGAGATGCAGGAAAAAACTGCGATGGGCAGCATGACAGAGAGGGAGGACAGAACGGGTTCAGGGAGCCAGAGCAAAAGAGATGGAGAAAGAAAAAAAAAGCAGCAGGTTATTGGGCAGAGGAAAGTTTAAGGGGGAAGGAATGAAGAAAGATGGACAGGGAGCCAGACAGACAGAGACGGGGGAAGAAAAAAAAATAGTGATGGGCTACAGGGCAAAGAGGGAAGACCTAAAAAAACAGGGACAAGGAGCAAGACAGAATGAGATGGAGAAAGGAAAAAATAGCAACAGGTGACAGGACAGAGAGGGAGAAATTTGAAATGAGGGGCAGGGAGCAGGATAAAGAGAGACAGAGCAAAAAAATAGACTTGCAATGTGCAAAACAAAGCACTTCTGTTTCCTTTGCAGTACACCCAGCATGGCGGAGGACCGGGCCCTGCTGCTCCATCATACCTTGGACCCCTCTGCGCAGTGCCCTGGGCGCACACTCCCATCCGAAAGCAGCAGGGCCGAGCACCCAGCAGGGTTTGCCGCAAGCAACCTGATTTACCACACCTTTAGCTCCAGCAGTGGGTCCAGACCCACCAGGAATCCCCATCCTTTGGCCATACCCATCATTGCAGCTCCCACCCCAGGTAGCCCCAGCTCTCCCCTGAGGGGCTGCAGGACAGCCAATGCTGCCATTGTCCCCCTCCCATCTGCCCAAGCCCTTCCTCGGTGGAGCAGGGACACTGCCACCATGCATGGCCCCACTCCACTCCTCTAATGCAGGTGGGATGAGGCAGGATGTTGGGGGGTGACAGCACAGTGTCCCCCAGCTGTACCCACAGAGCTGCTGTCCTCAGGCACACAGCTGCTCGCCATGAGGGACTGCAATGACACACTGCACCCTGCCTTCAGCACAGGGAGGGGATGTGGCCCCCCAGGAGAGGATGGGTCCCTCCTTCTCCTTCTGGGGTGTCCCCATGGTCATGATGCAGCAGTGTCACCCCAAGTGTCCCTGACAGTCCCCATCGTGGTGGCATCAGTGGTCCCCCTGTCCCTGGTGGTCACTGTGACCCTGGTGCGGGGTGGGGAGGTCACCCTGCCCCACCACCACCCAGATACCTGGGTTCCTTAGGGCAGCACTGCACCTGCAGTTCCCCACCCCTGGGGGGTGGGGGGAAGTTTTAGAGTGCTGGGGAGGAATGAGGACCCTGGGAAAGGGGGTGGGTGGGGGGGGGGGGGGGTTGGTGGCCCTAAGGGGGAAAGGTCCCCTTGCCCCCCCCTTCCCAGACACCTCGGTCCCCTAGGACAACTGTGAGTGCTGCTCCCCATCCCAGGGGTTTTAGGGTCCTGGGAGGGGTCCCAGCGGGTATTTGGGGGCCTGGGGTGGTCCCCAGTGAGGGGTTTGGAGTCCTGGGGGGGGATCCCAAGGGGGATTTTGGGTCCTGGGAGGTGCTTGAGGTCCCTGGCTGCACTCATGGGAGGCTTTTGGGGTACTTGTGGGGGGTGGGGTTCCCTATAGTGCCTTGGGAAGGGGCATGGGGTCCCTGGGGGCTCCCTATAAGGATGTGGGGCACCTAGGGGGGTTCCCCAAACCCAGGAAGGGCCACAACAGCCTCACCCAGCCCCTAAATCTAGGGGTGATGGGGGGACCTGGTGGGTGCATAGGTGTGGGGGTCCCCCCGGACACCTGGGTTCCCCCAGATACCTGGCTGCCTCCTACATGGCCTCCCTGGTGCTGGTCTTCTCGAGTCATGCAAAAAGAATCATTCTGGCAAATCCTGAGTTGCCTGGGATTGGGGTTATGGAAGATCCAGCTCTGACTCCAGCAGACTTTGGGGGTGGCATTACCCCTTTTACATGCCCCAGGGGTTTTCCAGTACAGCTTCGGCCTCCTGCCCATCTGCTGGCCCATCCAGGTGCCCGGGCTGTGTGCAGCAGGGAGATGGGTGGTGCTCTCCGTGTCATCCCACTGACATCTCCTCCCTCCCTTGCCTGTAGGCTTGCTCTCCCCATGCAGGTGGCCTCCAAGCACAGAGGCGACGTGCAGCGATCCTCCACCTGCAGCAACGTGCCCGAGGATGACTCTGGTAACATTCCTGAGTCGAGTGCCGCCCTGGCGAGAGCAGGCCTGGCCTTGCCGTCCTGGCGAGCAGCACCCAGACCAGGCCGGCAGCACTATGCACATGGGGGCTGGCTGTGCCCCAGCCACCCCTCCCTGCGGAAAGCCCTCGGTGGTGAGGGGCTGGCAGGAGCTTGCCCATCGGCTGCCCAGCCTCCCCAGCCTCTCGCCTACAGTTCTCCTTTCCTTTCCCCGCAGGCATCGCCGCCCTCCCGCACGCCCCAGCTCGACGGCGATGGCCCTCCCTCTTCAGGAGGGCGCTCAGGGCTCTGCGCAGGGCGTTCCGCTCTGCCTGCGTGGCGGGACAGCAAGAGCAGTAGTGCCCCGCTGCCAGCGCCAGGCGGGTCTCCGGAGAAGGCAGCTGGCCCTGAGCCCGCATAGCGTCCAGAGGGAGCGGCACGGGGAGGCTCGCGAGCGATGGGGGCATGGACGGCACCCCAGGCACTCAGCCGCCCTGAGGACACGATGCTGCCAGCCACCGCTCGGTCCCGGACACTTTCTGCGCCCAATAAAAGCTCACAATTTTCCCCCAGTGCTCGTCTGTGCCTGCTCCATCTTGGGAGAAAGACGGGTGCAGGCAAGGCCTGTGCCCACAGGCAGAGCTGGAGAGACCCTGTGCTCCCTCTTCTCCAGGCCGAGCAGAGCCTGTGCCCTCGGCCTCTGCCCATGCCTCCAGCGCTCCAGCTCCCGCCCAGCTGGGGCCCCCACCGGCCTCGCTCCATGCTGCCCATGTCTGCCTGGACCCGGGCAGCCCCAGCCCACAGCCGGTGCCCAGGCATGGCCTCCCCTGGGCCCATCGGCACATAGAAACCCCTTCCTGCGGTGCCCCCTGTGCCCCTCCTGGCACAAGCCCTTTGGGCTTTGGGACTGTCCTGGCTGCCCAGGCTCGCTGCCCACGCAACCCCTGCCCACCTTGGCCTCCACGGCTACTGCTGCTCTCCAGCCACCCAGCCCTGGCCCTGGCACCACCTCCTGTGGGGCATCAGTCCGTCCCCGGACCGGTGCTTGGCGCTTGCCTTTGCCAGACTCCCTGGGGACCCCGGCACCCCATTCCTCTGCTCCAGCCAAGTCCCTCTGAAGAGAGCTGCCCAGCCTCCAGCACTGCCACTGCCATCCCCAGTGTTGCAGTCTCCCCCATCCTGGCTGTCAGTGTGATCCCTCGCACACTCCACCTCCACGGGGAAGGCACTGAGGAAGAGCAGCCTGTGAGGGACCTCCACAGCAAGTAGCCACCAGCCGGCTCCCGCCTTGGAGCCCAGCCGACCAGCCAAGGCACCCCCCACCCCTGACGCTGGCTACTGAGCCTCCCCTCTCTGCTCAGTCCCACAGTCAGGGGCATTCCCGGAGGGCCTCAAGCCTGTTTGGCACCGCTGTCCCTGGGGAGAGCCCAGATGGCTCTTCCCAGTCCCCTGCTCCTCCTGCCATGTAACTGGGAATGACATCCAGGAGCACGTGTGCCAACACTTTCTCGGGGACGGAGCAGCCTGGAGGTTCTCCCCACTGCTCCTCCTTGCCTTTCTGGGAGATGGCTCTGGCAGTTGCTCAGCTCCCTCATCAGCAGGCCCTTCTGGAGAGCAGAGCATGCCTTTGCACTGGTACGGCACAGCTCCTTCCAGCCCTGGGATGCTTCCCAGCCAGTCACACAGCCATTTGGGAAATGGTTTAATTAATAGACTGAAAGGACCACTGCCAGCCCGAGCTGGAGTTCACCCGCTGCTCTGCTTGGCCGCCAGTCTCTTGTCTCTCTCTTCAGCAATGGTCAGGCGGATGCCCTTTCCACGGGGCAGGGAGATCCACGGCTTGTTACCCTGCAGCAAAGGAGAAGCAGCTACCTCGCATCAGGAAATCTGGACAGGGGCAGAGCTCTCCCTAGTGGGGGGAAAAGCAGCAGAAGCCAGCCCCTACCCAGCACTGGGCCGTGTACACAGGGCTGCGGTGGCACTGGCCCAGCAGAAGCCCCTTAGGAAGGCGCCAAAGGTGCACCAGCCCTACAGCTGCCTCTTTTGGTCACGTCCATGAAGAATGCACTTCAGCCAAAACACCACCCCTTTCCAACTTGGACAAAAGAGCCCATTGGGGATGGCGAGACAACAGAGGCATTGGGCGGGGAGGGCACTCTCAGTCAGAGCAGCTGCCCAGGGCACATCAAGACCTGAGCACAGCTCAGCTCCCAACTCTCAGGTTTAGAAAACCACAGGTCTGCTTCTCGAAAATGTCCCCATTGCTAAATTTACGGTTGTTTCCCCTTCCCTGAGCGGTCAGCTCGTAGCAGACAGAACCACAGGGAGCAGAGCCAGAACTGATGCTGGCACTGGAGCTTCACCGTGTGAGAAGGCAGCTGCCTACAGAAGACGCCAACACCTCTTTGCTTCAGCCAGCAGCGCCCAACAACATGGGGGAACCCACCCGCCTCGTGTCCGCGCAGGCTTACTTTGCCAATAACAAAGATGTTGGAGAGCCTGGTGGCAAAGCTATTGCCATTGGCGTCCTTCACGTGAACCACGTCAAACGAGCCAGGGTGTCTCTCCCGGTTGGTGATCACCCCAATACGACCCAAGTTGGCACCGCCGGTCACCATGCACAGGTTACCTGGGGTGAAGGAAGACAGGTGTGACAAGAGCGGGCACCAGGTGCCATGGTGAAGCCCACCCTTCTGCTTGGGCTCTTTGAGGAGCATTGCTGAAGAAGGGAAGGGACAGAGACGCACTGGCCCACAGAGCAGCCACCGGACCACCTGGTGACACCTACATCCCACAGGAACCCTGGCACACTTTGAGGAGCCGAAGAGCTCTCTGGCCACAAGGCCCATACCAAACATTCCCCACGACCTTCTCAGTTGTGTCAGCACCAAGGAGGCATTCCTGTACCACTTGTCCTGGCACTGCTCATGGCTCTGGAACTGAAATCTTCTCCTGCAGTAGACAGCCAGTAATCTCCCTACAGCTGCCCAGAGCTTTCTGCTCACAGCTCTGTGAGAGCCAGGCTCAAACAGCCACTCCATCAGCTCGCTGCTTCTACCTGGTGCCTGCTTGCTCTCCGATTTGCTCCAAGACCCTACGCCAAACACCTCCCACTGCCAGCACATGGGAGGAATCCCTGCTCCAGCTCCAGGTGGAGATGCCCCAGGGAAACAACCCCTTTCCCAAGGCTACCACCACTGCCTCTCTACTTTAGAACAAAGATGTCTGACATTTGTATTTAACTTCCACACTGCTCTCCACAGTGCGGAAGAGTACAGGGTAGAGTACATCTTTACATGGGATGCAAGACCTACCTGTGTCAAACTTGATGAAATCTGTGATCTTGCCTGTCTCCAGGTCAATTTGGACCGTATCATTCACCTTGATGAGGGGGTCTGGATAGCGGATGGTACGAGCATCATGGGTGACCAGATGAGGGATTCCTTTGGTGCCCACAAAGATCTTCCTCACCTTGCACAGCTTGTACTGCAAACAAAACCCAACACTACTTAGCTGAGGCAGTGAGTGGCACCATGGACCACGGGACTCTTGGTCCCCAGGGAGCCCTCAGACCCCAAGCAAAACACCCAGACGCTCCAGGGCTCGCTACAGGAGCCTGGGCAATGACTTGCCCAGCTCACTGCCCCAGCAATGCCTCTCACAGGGCTGCCACACAGCTGTGCTACAGCCCCACCAGAAAACACCTGTGCTTCAGGAACAGCTGGCCACCCTGGGCTTCGGCCTTGCCACAAGCACTGGCTGCATTTTCCTAGGAAAGCCTGCGCCAGGGCAGTTTCCTCATTTTGCCCTGAAGCCCGTGGTCACACAGTGGAGGCACAGGCTGCCTTTCTTCAGGACCCAAGAGAGATCTGTATCCCTCCTGCCTTTCACTCCTGACTCCTTCACAGCCACTCTGGGACTCACAGGTCAATACAGAGTGGTAGCCAGAGGTAAAAGCCTAACACGGGGAAGCAGAGAGGCCCCAAACGCACACCACAGCTGGCTGTGGCACAGCCATCTCTCCCCTCAGCATCACTGCATGCCTGCAAGGCCTGCTCTTAGGAAGAACATGCAAAGTAGCCCGCAGACCCGCAGCTCAGGCGTGCCATCATGCTTGGGTTAAAAACACATGTGCAGGAGTCACTCCCTGACACCTAGGGCCAGAGGGCAGTTTTGTAAACACTTCCATAACAGACCCGGGAAGGAGTTCAAAGCTTTTGCACCGCAAGCAGTACCATGTTTCTGATCACTGTTAGCTTGTGGAGCCCTACACTAAGGCTCACCACACCACAGCAGAGCCATCCCCACCCCAAAGCTCCCTGTGAAGGTAACCCAGCCCATGCCAACAGTGGTCATTTCAAGCACCAGACAATGCACCTACAGTCATCTAGGAGCTGCTCTCATGTCACAAGACTTCCCCCCTGCTAAAGGCTTCGCACCCCAACACTGAAGGCCCTGATGTTCTCAAGGGTGGCATGGACTCAGCTCTCGGGGAAGAGAGCCAGCAGCTCCTGTTCAGGAGATGCCAAACAGGAAACACCACCCCGACCAAACCCAACTGGTCCCATGCTTAACCCAAGTTGAAGCCCTCACCTTGGCCTCTTCAGCTGTGATGCGGTGAACAGCAAACCGGCCCTTGGTATCGTACACCAAGCGGAAATGCTCACCTGTCTTCTCGATGCTGATGACATCTGATTTCAGAGAGGGGAAATGAAACAGCAGCTGTTATCAGCTACATTACCCAACATTGTAACTCAGCACAAAGCTCAGGTTTAAAAAGAACTAGTGACTGCAGAACACTTCAGGCATGAATGATGGGGTGAGTGTCTCCTCTTGACCAGACTCACATCTTTTACTGCAATACAGTGCAAATTAGCAAAAACTGCAAAAGGCTGAAGTCTGAACAGCAATTTACGCATATGCAAGCAGGCAGTTATAGGCTACAGATATCTGGCTTTGGTATTCGTTGCAGTGCACAACTCCAAACTAAATAACAACTGCTTATACCTATCTTTTCTTCAACCCCACCAGGAAAGCATCTTTCCTCCCAAATCATGCCAGCCTCACAAAACATTCCCCCATCAGTGCAGCAGAGCTGCCTGAGGTACCTGCCCCAGCCCTCCGTGCTCACCCATGAAGCCTGCAGGGTAGGTGATGTCTGTGCGGACTTTGCCATCTATCTTGATGAACCTCTGCATGCAGATCTTCTTGACCTCATCTCCTGTCAGGGCATACTTCAGCCTGTTCCGCAGGAAGATGATGAGCGGAAGGCATTCCCTCAGTTTGTGAGGGCCTGTCGATGGACGGGGTGCCTGCAAACAGAAGCTTTCTGCTGGGTGCTCAAGCATAACATCAGCATTGACTGTCCCCAGAGGAAGAATGCTACCACCCCGGCAGCTCTCACAGCAGCACCCAAGGACAGTTGTGTGGAGCCTAACTGCTAAGCAGGCAGTGATAGGCTGCAGATATCTTTTCCTGGTATTCACAGCACCCTTCCCCCAAGCCTTGTCAGCCTCACAGAACACTGCCCCCAACACCATGCAACAATCTACTGACCCACCCCAGTGAAGGAAAAACACAACAAGCAGGATCAAAGAGAGCAGCCAACTACCCCACTGGCAAATGGGGGAAACAGAAAAGCTGCTTGCAAAGACCCTAACAGCAACCACCCCTTCTCCCCGGCGCTGCCCAACTGCTCCAGCTCACCACCAGTGCCCGAACAGTGCGCCTGAGCACCCCCTTGGTGAGACTGCGAAGCCGCCTGGGCCCGCGAGAGCGGGGACGGCCGCTGTCGCGGGCGGCCCGGGCCCGGGCCCGGCCCCATCCCCAACCCCGTCCCGCACTCACGAAGACGCCCGTCAGTTTGTCCAGCATCCAGTGCTTGGGCGCAGCCACGCGCTTCAGGTGCTTCTTGGGGCCACGGGCCTACGGGACGGGATGGGACAGGACGCGTTACGGGCCGCCACCAGGCTCAGCCCCCCC